GGATGAAGCCAATCAAAACCAGGATGATATCAGTGAGTCCCTTTACTGTCAGCTGGTTATGAAGGTGTTTCCTCCAAGTGATATTATGTGTTCCTCAAACAGATGTGGCTAAAATCACAGATGAGGTCTACATGGAAGTGGTGGTAGGGGGTGAGGACCCTGGCAGTGCTCAGCGGACACTTGACAGTGCATCGCTCGGCAAGGACTTCATGCCTGTGGCTTGGGCAGCTGCTTACGGTTAGTGAAACACACATTTTTTGGTCATATTCAAAAGTTGCGTTGTGCAGTGTTTTCCACAATCAATATTGATCACTTTAAAATTCATTTTGGGCAGTTAAAGGCACAATATGTAATTTTTTGCCACTAGAGGGCGCGTATTCAAAACAAACAAAGGAACAAATGCATAGTTAGATGACGCCGTGATGGTGTGGAATCATGGGAGTTGTCGTCTTCATCCCCACAGCCGAAGCAATCCAATGGGACTCGGGCAGAAATCATGTTCATGGATGAGCTTGTGTATTAAAGATTTATTAACGTCGTAGTATGAAGCAGGGTGAGGCTGAAAGCCGTCGAAGCAAAACGAGGCCGCTGAATGAGCGTGACACACGGCTCGAAAGCAGCGGAGCTTTTATTATGCCAAAGTCGACCTATTCCGCTCCTTCCGGAAAGCAGCAGAAGTAAGCAGCGCTGTTTTATCATACTAGATACATTTGAACGTTCTGTTATAATGCTAATCTGTGCGGTCGTCACCTGTCTAATAAAATCCATAGCGTATTAAAGCGTCTTTGGTGTTTCCATGTTTTCTACAAAACAAAACCGGAAATCGAGGGTGTATGACGTCATTGGCAGGCGACACAATGACACTATAGACACGATCCGTGTCACTAGTTAAAATAGCTTATTTCTCTGGATTTAAACATTCTTCGAAACATTTGGGATAATGTAAGTACACAAGTCAGCAAAATATATAACACTGTTCTAGTGGTTTTTGGATATTTTAATAACTTACATATTGTGCCTTTAATTCTAAAGAAATATGCATGTGTCCTATTATTCTCCTAAATTATGTCTCCTAAATCATTTGTACATTAGCTAATAAGGAATTTTCCTACTATGAAATGGACATATGCAGTCTTTTTAAATTAATTTGAACTGATAAATTGACAGGCTTCCTAATAGACTTTAGTCTTTATGCCAACATCCAAATTCATCACTGAGACGAGTTATAGTTCATTAATCGAACCCTTGTAATACACCTATCTCTTTAATCTGCAGTACAAGACAGCTTCTCATTATAACCTTGAAATATGATGTGATGTCTGTCAGGTGGGGAGGAGAGTGAAAGCTGTGAGAACAGGAATGGAGCAGCTAGTGCTTTACTGCATGTTGATGAGTCTGATATGATCGAAAGACTCAGCCGTCAGCGAAACAAGAACAGGAGCAAAAAACGTTCTGAACTTCGTCATGTTCACACAGGTACATCTCTTCTACACTTTAATTTCACATTTTACGTAACTTTTTAAATATATATATATACTGTATATTATATAATTTTTTTTAATTTTATTATTAGTGCTGTCAAACGATTAGTCGCATCCAAAATAAAAGTTTTTATTTACATAATATATGTGTGTGTACTGTGTATATTTATTATGTATATTTAAATACACACACTTGCAGTATATATTTTGAATACATGTTGTAATACAGTTCGTGAGTCAGGAAGGAGGACGAGGAAGTCAGGGGTGGCGGGTAGACCTCTTTATTGGTCGCCACAATCAAAATAAAATAAACAATAAGCGCTGCTCGGCTCTGCCTCCACATTCTGGTCTGTCACACAACGCACACTCTGCTCCGACTCTCTCTCTCCCTTCTCCCAGGTCGGCGGGCGCTTATCTCTCGTCTCTCCGCCAATCACTGGAATTGCAAACAGGTGTTAATCATTATTCACTTGACCTCCTTATCACCGCTCGTCTCCAAACCCTTTCTCCCGCTGCAGCCTTTCGCCTTCCCACGCCCCCCTCGCCACATACCCCCACACATATACTATGTGAACAAAAACGTTTATTTTGGATGCGATTAATTGCAATCAATCGTTTGACAGCACATATATATATATATATATATATATATACATACACACATATATATATATATATATATATACATATATTACTTTTAATACTTACATTGTTGCAAAAGATTGTATTTCAAATAAATTATGTTGTTTTGAACTTTCTATTGATCAAAGAATCCTGAAAAAAAAATATTAAGCAGCACTGCACTCTTAAGAAATGTTTCTTGAGCAGCAAATCAACATGAGGATCATGTGACACTGAAGTAATGGCTGCTGAAAATTCAGCTTTGCTATTATAATAATAAATTACATTTTAAAATAAAATACAGTTTTGCTTAAATTGTAATCATTTTGTAATATTACTGTTTTTACTGTATTTTTTTTATTATGAAATAAATACAGCTTTTAAAGAGAGAAGAGATTTTAAAAGCATTAAAACAATCCTACAGACCCCCATATCTTTCAGCTATAGCATATATATTAATTTTGGTTTACTTTTTCAACTTCAGCAATCATCATTGGACCTTACGGCCAGCCTCTTACGGTGTACCCTTGTATGCTATGTGGGAAGAAGTTCAAGTCTCGTGGTTTCCTCAAGCGCCACACCAAGAATCACCATCAGGATGTCGTAAACCGAAAGAAATACCAGTGTACGGACTGTGATTTCACCACTAACAAAAAAGCCAGTCTCCACAACCACATGGAGATCCACACCCTCAGCAGTAAATCACCATTTGAGTGTGAAGTCTGCGGAAAAGAGTTCCACCAGCAGGCGGCGCTGTTCTCGCACCGTCTGCAGCACCACCACCGAGAATCCAAGCTTCAGATCCCACCACCCACCACCAAAATGCACAAATGCAAGTTCTGCGAATACGAGACGGCAGAACAAGGACTTCTAAACCGACACCTACTCGCCGTTCATAGCAAGAATTTCCCGCATATCTGCGTGGAGTGTGGGAAGGGTTTCCGGCATCCTTCAGAGCTGAAAAAACACATGAGAACCCACACCGGTGAGAAACCGTACTCCTGCCATTACTGCGACTACAAATCAGCCGACTCGTCCAACTTAAAGACACACGTGAAGACCAAGCATAGCAAAGAGATGCCCTACAAGTGTGAGCGCTGTTTCCAGACGTTTGCCGAACCCGACGAGCTGTTACAACACGGCCTGACACACGAGGAGGCCAAAACGCACCAGTGCACCCACTGTGACCATAAAAGCTCCAATTCCAGTGACCTGAAGCGCCACATCATTTCAGTTCACACCAAAGACTATCCACATAAATGTGAAGTCTGTGGAAAAGGCTTCCACCGGCCGTCGGAGCTCAAAAAGCACTCGGCTGCCCATAAGGCTAAGAAGTTACACCAGTGCAGGCATTGCAATTTCAAAATCGCAGATCCATTTGTTCTCAGCCGGCATATTTTGTCAGTGCACACCAAGGAGCAGCAGGCCTTTCCTGACAAAAAGGCTCTTAAGAAGACGTTTAGACTCAGTGCTCATGGAGGTAAGAAAATTTTGGGCGGCGCCGGTCTGTCCAAGGGCCACCGGGAACGCCGGGTTTATCAATGCCAGTATTGCGACTACAGCACGGGCGACGCGTCTGGTTTCAAGAGGCACGTGATCTCCATTCACACCAAAGACTATCCTCACCGATGTGACTTCTGCTCGAAAGGTTTCCGCAGACCGTCGGAGAAGAATCAGCACATTATGCGGCATCATAAAGACCTAATGCCTACTATGTGACCTTTGCAATCAGAAACCCATTAGGAAAAGCTCTGTTCTGATGTAGCTGTGGTCTTCAGGGCCAAAAGCCAACTAGAGGCTTTTTTGGATCCCTGATGGTACAGGCTGAAAGTGCAAGGAAATACAGAAAAAACAACCATCTCTTGTGTCCAGTTGCAAGTTACACTGCTGTAAAGTTCAAGTCAATGTTCTGAAGATACATTCTTTTAAGGTTGAATCAACCTTTCTTGAGAGTCTAAATCTGCTGACGAGCTTTAGATTAATTGCGAAAATAGATAAACTTACGTACTAATCCATCAAGGGTGGACGACATGCATACTGTGTAGTTTTATGTTGGAGCGTCGGGTTATAAATTAGAATTATGACTCCTGTATTGCATGTTACACAAAACAACAGCTTTGGTGATTGTGGCGTGTTTGTGCACATGCGTTTACAAGTACAAAAGTTTTGGGAATAAGGCCTTGAAGAAGTCCGTTGTCTTTAAACTACGGTGCTAATGCTTTATCGACTGGTATCTTAGCTTTAGACGAGCAGAATGTCTAATTCTAGAGAACTGAAAAACTCGACTTATGCCATGGCTGCTAAAAATTTGTTTTAATTTGAGGGAAAAAATGGCTGTTCAGACCAGATAGGCTTTTGGGAAACCCATCTTTCGTTTTGGTTCTCTAACCAAAATGCATCGACAACACTGGTGCATTAATTTACTAATAAGAGCTGTTATTTAAGACAATGAATTTATAATGTAGGACAGGGTTTCTTGGTAATATTTCCAATAAATTATATTGCAAATAGTACTCCAATCACAAGAGATCTTCAGGTTTAATCAGAGTGTGCAGACATTAAATCAGGCCGAATGGCTGGTTCTCTAAATTTGTTTTAATTTAGACGCTAGTTTGTGTATTTCTTGAATGTGGCCATTTGGCTTTTGGTCTGTTGTAAAACTCACCCTCAAATTATTATTATTATTATTCAGATGTTTAGGGTAAATTTTATTTTTTACACAGATACTGAAAATGTATAATTTGGAATAAAGAGTTTCTAAAAAATGTTATGTGTATATGAAATATTTGTAAATACAGAAGTAATAAACAGTATTTTGTGTCTAAAACGTTTTTATTTTTTTTATTTTTCATTATAAAATGAAATGCAAATGGAGAATTTGAATGAATCACACCAACATTTGTCATTTGTAAACCAATTTAATCTAACAGCAGTAAACAAAACCACCAAAGACAAAAAAAAATGAAAGCACTGTTCATAAAAATTTGTTTACAGGTATGCCATATCGGTTATGAAACATGTTTGACACATTTACAGGAAGAAAAAAAATCACACATCAATACAGAAACATCAAGAACTGAGTTCAATTTATTAAAATGCATATTGCATTTGGATGGTAAGGTAATACTTTGCCATTCTGTCCCCCTGCTTAAGACATTCTTGCTCTGTAGTTACAAATTGGTTTGTCATCGTGAGCACAACAACTGTGTTTAAGGCAAAAAGAAAAACTGATGTTTCCATACAAAATGAAAGCGACAAAAACCAAGCAGACAGAAGGCCAGCTAATTCACATCTGTTTTTCAGGTGAAATGATCAGACCAGCTGAAGTTGTCTTACTTTGGACGAGACACTTAGGCAACCGAGCATTCTCCTGCAGAACAGCAGGTACAAAGTTAGCAAAAATGTCAAGTATTAAAAAAAATACATCATTGAGGATTAATTAAAATCTTAAAACATACCATTTGTTGGCAGTATGGCAATGTTTTCCTCAAGGATGCCAGTGTCCAGACAGAACTGCCTGAACTTCTCCTTCAAGTCATCAGAAAGTACTGTGGAACGAACTGTTGATGACACATTCAGGGTCCGTTTAGCGTTTATTCATGAAAACGTTACAGCTAAATTGTGTCATTTAGACAAATCGAGCTCTTACTGTAGAGTTTGTTGAGAACCTCAGAAACACCTCCCTTGGTCTTGATAGTGTGAATGAGAGCGTACTCATCAAATTTGGCATCAACCACACGCATGTCGTTTTCATTTCCCCAACCTGATGAAAACTGAACACATTCAGGCCAAAGGAACAAAAAAAAAAACCTGACCATAAGCTGAAGCAAAAGCAGGACGACTTACGCTGGCTGTAGAAGACAAAACGTCCTGGAGTCTCAGTTTTCTTGGCGAGGTGTGTCATTCTCCAACAGGAACCATCACTCCTGAGAAACAAATGAAGTAATTAAAGTTATTTTTGTAATTATAAGAATATTTATCAAAACTCTTCTCCTTGAACACTAAAGCTAGCTTGAGCTTACTTCAGATTAGTGTAACTGAGATCAAGGTCTCCGTCCTCGGTAGGCACCATCATGGCAGTTCCCATCGTCATGTCAGCCTTGTGACTGACAAACCATTTAGCATTTGTAGCAAAACCAATGAGATACCACTTTCCTCCTATCTGCACAGAATATAACTATTTTAGACCAACACTCTTAAAAATAAAGGTTTCAAAATGTTTGTTTTTTTCTGTGATGCCAAAGAAGAACCTTTTTTGGTTCCCTAAAGAACCTTTACTTCTTAAAATAACCTTTTTTTTTTTTTACTGTGAAGAATATTTTAATAATCTAAAGAGCCTTTTTATACTATAAAGAATGGAAAGATTCCATGGAAGTTTCTTCATGTAACCACTGATGGCATTAAAGAACCTTTTTAAGAGTAAACCGAACCTGAGAATAGCCCTAAAACTCACTTCTAACACTTAGATGCTTTCATTTATAGTATTTTACAGTAAAACTGCAAGGTAAATGCCTGTATATTTTCATTTTTTACCTTTTCCATGTCGAAGTCAGTCATGGGCATGACATCAGCAGAGGCGAACACTGCACAGAGCAGAATGCACAGCATCTTTAAAACGACAGTCGTCATGGCTGCAGAAGTGTAGGTTCTCTCTCTGTATGCAGTTCAGAAGGCAAAGTTGGCTGTGTAGACAAGACGAAAGGCAGCCCCTGTTTTATCCTCAGATTTGAGCCCCCCAAACCCTCCCTCCTTGAGTCCCTCCCACCTCCGACGACACAGCAGGAATGATAATTACAGTTGTTACACAAATTTCAACATGCACGTGTAGATTTTTTCAGGTATATGTGGGTGTTTGAGGGTATTTTTGATGCTTTTTATGACCCTGCAGTCTGATGTCCCTGTTTGGCCTTCATGCAATACATGCACACATTGTTTTATGTTTTTGAAAGAAGTTTCTTATTGCTCATCCATGCTGCATTTATTTGACCAGAAATACAGTAATACTGTTAAATATTATGATTCAAAACAACTGTTTTCTGTTTAATACTTTCAAATGTCATTTATTCCTGTGATGGCAAAGTCTTCAGTGTCACGCGATCCTTCAGAAATCATTCTAATGTGCTGATTTGCTGCTCCAGAAACATTTTTTATTATTATCAAAGTTTAACTGTGTTAACTGTGTAAAAGTGCTTCATATTTTTGTCTAAACCATTTTTCAAGAGTCCTTGAATAGAGAGTTCAAAAGAACAGCATTTTTTTCGAAACAGAAATGTTCTGTAATATTTTACATGTCTTTGCTGTCACTTTTGATTAATTTAAAGCATGCTTGCTGAATAAATTATTTATAGTATTCAATTATTTTTAAAACATCTTACTGACCCCAAACTTTTGAATGGTAGTGTAGACTGGAGATGATGTTAAGTCCAAAAGTGCTTGTAATAAAATGCAATGCAAAATATCAAAATGCATTTTATCCAAATCAAGCTGTTGTCCAGCCGGGTGATTGTGACAGTTGCTGCAAAAAGCAATTTTGTGTTAAAACTAGATCATTTCTGTGTTAGAGGTTTTTCCATATGAAAATGATTACCGTAGGATATTTTTTGGAATGTTGGATATGTAACATGTTTACCCCTTGTGTTGTGTAACTCTGAAAGGGTGGGCAGGCAGAGTCTTGTTTTGAGAGTTACATCACAAACCACACTAACCTCATCAAGATGCCTTTGCCTTGTTGTATAAATACTCTTCTGTTACATCTAGAATGGCTTGAGCAAAATCACCACTTTCGATACTTATTAGCAAGGATGTAACCCAAATAAATTAAAGATTAGAGGGATGCGCTTTCCTCAATATCTATTGGTTCCTATTATATTGAATGCTATTGTTCATGATCAAACTAGAAAATGTAAAGTTAACACACAAAACCTTGAAATTACAAATTAAATTTATTGGTGAAATTCTTAGCACAATGCTTTCTCACAGTGCTCACAAGATGCTGGTCTTAGGTCAGATCTGGTGGACAAAGCAATGATAGTGTTGTTAGGTTGCTAGGCAAAAATAGAGATTATACAAAATCATACAGTTTATTTTTGTTACAAAACCTAATTTAAGTTATGCAAGTTTAGCAACACATGCCTGTAAAACAGAAAACGTGATTCTAACACAAGCGGGTGATGCACAAATGTCCGGATTGGTTCATTTTGTAGGGTAAAAAACATTTCTTTCAGCCAATAAGCCCAAAACCAAGCAACGGCACAGAGAAGTCGAGAAATCTGATTCATTTCGAGAATCGGTTCGTTTAAACGATTCAATTGAATCAGTTCGCAAAACTCCTCGCGCGCGATTATACGTGTTATTGCACGTAGTGAAATAAGTATTCTGTTAAACATTTTATGATTCTGTATTCGAATACGTTTTATGTTGTGTCAATGTTCTCCATTACTGTCGAGTAGGCCTATTTATATACGCTTTGCGAATCGGTTCACTTGAATCATTAAAAAGAACCGTTACAAAATAACGACTCGTGCATGAATATGACATTAGAATCAGCAGTGCGATGTTTAGAATGCAACAGTTATTAAATTACTTAACAATATACATGTCGGTCTGTAAATGTCAGTTAATTAAACATTAAGCCGATGTAAAAACAAAAAATGTAGCTCTTACCCAGGACCTTTTCTGTGGACTCGCAGAACCCTGGAAAAGAGTCAAAAGGATTTAAAAAGAGTGTTCATTCGCTGTGTTTTTATTTTATTATTTACATTTAATTTGTCCATTGTCTCACCGTAGTCAGGATTCTGGAAAATGACGTCCAATCCTAAATTAAATGTCTTTGCACGATCCTCAAATTTTTTCCAATATATTATCAGGCACTTCACTGGACCGTCCTTTAAAAAAACGAAATAAGTATTTAATTAAAACAGTAGCCTACTCTTTTTCACAGTGGTGCCATTGTGACACAAAAGGGTGGGTGTGAGAAGTTTAAAATAGAGACTAGAACACCTACCATATAGTTTCATGGTAATTTTCCCTGCTCTCTTAAAAACCACCGTAGCATAGGAGCTGTAGTCTGTCTCCAGCACCATTATGTCCACATTCTCAGCCGGTCTCTTACCTGCATAAGAAATTTGACATTATTGAATGCCATTGTATTAGCTTTGAAAAATAAATATATAACCAAGAGTAATTGATTAAGAATATGTTTGTTATATTATAAACAATAAATATAATAATAATAATAAACATGGTATTTGGACACTTTGGTTGTCAAATTTAGTGGAACTCCGCTATAGGTCACCTGAGAGAACCTGATGGCTATGAAAATAAAAATGTTATCTTATGGCATCATTTGCAAATATGTTGTTGTAAATGCAATGATGTAAGTGTGTCTAAAGTGTTCAAACACATGCTGGATCTAATGTAGGATATTTGTCCACAGAAACACTTTGTTTTGGTGTCCTTCAGAAATGTTACATGTACTTTAGTAATAACAGTAAAATAAAATTGCATAATTATTTACAAGAAACAAACATTAAACCAAACCCTAATCATATCCCTATGTTAATTAATACTCAGTACTTTTTTATTTTTTCAAACCTTTTCTTTAAAAAGTATTTCAAAATGACTTGTGATGATTATAAAATCACTTTCATCTATCCGCATACCAACTGTCAGTGCAGGTCAGGGAGCATTTCACAACAAAGAAAAGCCATCAGTTTAGATAGTGGTATGAATGACAGGCTTTGAACCCTGCTCTAGTGGTCAGTGTGGTTCAGTCGGCACAGGATACCCAACTTGGAGAAACAGTTGGCCAGGGGTCTTTGTTTTCATGTAGTTCTGCTTGATTTCCCAGCACTCAAAATTGCTAACATAGGGAAAAAGCACAATGGATGAGCAGATAAGATGAAATATGTATGTGTGTATGTGTGTGTG